GATATATGCATATTTGTATTTCGCGCTTGAAAAAACTCATTGACAAAAAAAGAAAAAAAAAAACAAATAAATAAATAAATCTCATGAAAAATTTGGTGAGCAATACTAAAAAAAATCTATAAAGAAATTGGTAAGCCAGTGAAAAGTTTTTAGGAAGCGAATCATTTTATTTAAAAAATTAAAACAGAAGCTATTTAAGCTATTTATTTATATTGTATACATATATGACATACATTTGAAATGTGCTTAACTATATATGTATATAAACTTATATATAAAACCAGCTGAGCTTAAGAAGATGATGGAATGGCAGCATTGACAAAATAAAATTAACAAAATATAAACAATATAACATATAATTTGTCTGCCCCTCGATTCTATTATATTGATCTAACGCGTGAAACAAGTTTCTCTAGGCTGTCTATAAATTCTTGACTATTGGCAAACTCAACTTGTTTAACGCCTCTCACCGCTAGTTAGTAGCTGTAGCTGGGCTTAATGGCAGTCTAGCAATATCGGTATTGTAATATCTAAGCAGCTGATGGATTTGGTGTATATGCACGAATTGTACAATGGGCCATCGGGGGCTCATTTGGGCAACCATTAGAACACCTTTGAGCAATGAATTTACGCCTGAATGCGCCACAAAGTGGGCACCCCAGCTCAAGTGGCTACCTGGCCGGTGCAATCTTCAATCTATGCTCGATCTATTGCAAAACCTCTATTCTGGCAATCTCTATTCACACGTCACACTGAGCGGCTGAGCGGCTGAGAGCCGGACGAGACGTGTTTTCGTATGGTGGCTAACTGGCAGTCGACCTATGCACCACATTCCTGACATGGCTAGCGACTAAATTGCATTGATTACACGAACTTGTTGCGGCATCAGCAATAACAACAACTACAACAACAACAACAGCAGCAACAAGAGCGACTACAACTGCAACTGCAAATGCCAGGCAGGCATTGAGCTGCTTATAAGTTAAGTCATTTTGTGGCTTTAATCTGCGCCAGAAGCAAAGCTCTAGACAAAACAGATGCTGTGGTCGAGACTATGCAACTGCAACTGCAGTTCAAAGTTATTTTTCTTTATTTTGTAAAATGCATTTTGTATGCTTTTTGATTTTATTTGGTTTTGCCTGGCATTGTAGCAGCCGCAGCAGCAGCAGCAGCACACAACGTCGTCTAAGCATCTAAGTATCTTTCGCTTGTTGGCTGACTGTCTGGCTGGCTGGCCAAGATGTGCGAGGTGAACCAGCAGCTAGCCACAGTTGGCCAACACATCGGCGAGCCATCAACGGGGTAGCGACCAGGCCAACAGTGAGAGTGGCCGAGGGAGGGCGAGATGGTGAGAGAAACTGAGGCCAGCTGCGGGTGGATGTGGTTTTTGGTGTCGGTGTGGTGTACCTTGCTCTGTGGATTATGCAGCCGAACGACTCTATATATGTATGCTCATATTTGTGCATGTTACAATTTTGTAAAGTAATTTGCTAGTTGTCTATATCTCTTCACAGTAACTGTGTAACTGCATTTGCGATGCGTCATGGCACTGAATAATCGATAATTGATAGAGTATGCCAAGGATGTTGCACTTGGGGGTGAGAAAAGTGAGCCACAAAACAGTTAGCCTTATAATTGCCAAGAGAACGTGCAGTGTGATCGATCATTGTCGTGAACTATATGAAAAGTGACTGACTACGAGGTGAACTGCATTGCTAGCAATCAAATGAGCATTACCCATGCCATAATCTATCAAAAACCTTCGTATAAGCAGAGCAGTGCGTTGAATCAACTGTCAAATGATACTTAAATTCCTGCAAATTAAAAAGAGCGAAAGAAAAAACAAAACTGAAATACAGTAGAACCAAATGCAGTTAGCTTAAGCCGAAAATATCATCATTATTTATCAGCTTATACGGTTCGTTGACTCATGCCAAAAGCTGAGCTCAATTTACATATTCAATTATTTTGTTATAGTATTTATAGAAAGCACTTGGGAACAACAATTCATTGAATTCCAATCAGCTCATGGAAGCAAAAGGCGTAAATTTATTTTAGAGCTTGTTTTAGGGTATAACAAATTAAAAAAATTATGAATTCATTAATTTAAAAGCAATTAACTCGTGTTTATTGCTCCAATATATTGCCTAATTTCGGAAATTATTTACTATATACCTAATATATAATGTGGTACTTGCCAATGTAAAAAAGTGTAGAACACACTTTGATATAAATGCATTTATTTTGAGTTTGTTTGGCTGATCAACAAATTCAAATTCAGGGCTAAACTCTTTGATGTGATATAAAAGCAGGTTATTTAATAGATCATAGCATTTAAGAACGTTTACCTCAAGCCTAACTAGAATATTGATAGCATGTCACAGAATATATGCGAAAATTTACAAAATTGTATATATCAAAATCTGGTTTATGTAAAGTCATCAATTCAAAAAATTTTAAATATATAT